TCCTACCGGGCCCGGCCCGGCCCGGCCCGGGACCCTGCTCCCTCTGCTCTGGCGAGGGGGAAACAGGGACACACGTGGGAACCCCTCCTTCTCCTCCGGCATGACATAGATAGATAGATATTCTCCCTTTCCTCCTACATGGGATAGGCAGACAGATGACAATCCCTCTCCCTCATCTACCTATCTATCTAATGCAGGAGGAGAGGGAGCGGGATTGTCACCTGTCTGCCCCTCTGTCTGTCTATCCCATCAGGAGGAGAGGGAGAAAGCTAGCTAGCTAGCACAAGACAGCTAGCTTTCTCCCTCTCCTCCTGCATGGGATAGACCGACAAAAAAAAAAATCTCTCTCTCTCCCCTTCATGGGATGGATGGATGAGGACCCCGCTCCCTCTCCTCCTCCATGGGAGGGCAGGCCGGCAGAGGAGAATCCTTCTGTCCACTCTCGTTCTCCCGCCGCGTGTGCGCACATGCCAGCGAGGGCCTGTCTCTTCTCCATGCAGCTCCCCGTCTCCTTGCTGCCAGTTCCTTTGCCCTTCCCTGTAGCATCCTTCAGTCTGTATATCCTCCCCCAGCCATGCTTCTGCTCTCTGTTAATCCCTCCTGCACATCGCCTTAATCCTCTGCTTTGTAAGTGTTTCTTGATCACACCGAATCCCATCCCCCTCCACACACACACACACACACACACACACACACACACACACACAGAGTAAATACATGGTTGCTGAAACCTCTCTCTGAGCCCCGAGTCTGTGAACACCTTGTCAGACCTTGCTGTTCCCCATGCTCCTGAGCTTGGATTTGTGTGAGTAAAGGAGAAGCAGAAATGGCCTCCATCCACATACTTCCCCTCTCCCTCCCTTGTGTTTCTGCAGTGTGTTTGCCAGCTGCAGGTTTTATGCTGGTCTCACTTCTAAACACCTGCTTAACTTTCTCTGCAACCAATCCCGTGGAAGTAACAGGACTTGCACATGTTCTGAAGTAAAGGACTGCTAATTTGCACTGCCAAGCCAAGGTCGGTGTCCTTTCCCATTCCCTCTACCTCTTACCCTTTATCTTTGCAGAACTCCTGCTCTGTATCAGCCCCTCTGTCTGCTGCCAGTCTCTCCTCCCTGTCTCACCCACTACTCATTATAATAACTGTGACATGAAAAGAGAGAGGAACAGATGGAAAGGGAGCTACTCTCTACACAGATTAATCAAAAACCTACCTATAAGTAGCCAGGTGGCTTCCAAGGCAGGATAGGTGGAAGGAAGGATATCAGATGTATCTGGGCTTGGAGAACCAGGACAGGGCAAAGATGGTAGATCATCCCTTTTGCAATCCCCCAATACCAGGAATAGCACCTGCCACAATTTAGATCCGCCTCA